TAGATTAAGGGCTTTAATCACAGGGAAGTGTGCAAAATTGCAATCTTTTTGTTCAATAAGAATCATTCAGTTGACTATATACTTACTGCCCTAAGTCGTCGTGCATGATATTCTTCAGCTGTCACATACTGTTTTGGTTCTATAAGCTTATCAGTGATATTTGACACATAAACACCAATCTTCGTCATTTGTGTAGAAGTTGTATTTCTGGTCTGTTGTAATTTTTTTCTTTCTACCACTGTCTAGAATTAAACAAAAGTTTTAATTTTAAGAAGGTTGAGCATTCTGTATGTAAATTAGTTAAACTGAATCAAAAGCTAATTTATGAATGCATTAAATTAAAAAATATATAGAATTGTGGAATGGAGTTATTTAATTATCAGCTTCTAACATACTGAACACATTTAACTTCCAAATCAGTTTTTCTTGCATATATCTCAGGGTCTCATTCTTTTGTGAACATACCTGTGTTGACCTACAGAACTCTTCATATTCTTTTTCTGGGTTTTTTTTGGGATCTGTCTGTGATCCTGCGTTATGGTATTCTATGCCTGTTTCCTTATGTCTAAATCCACCCAAGAATGGTTTCTCAAATGTTGGCCTTTTAATTTCTATAGATACATCCTGAAATGTGTCTGGCTCTGTTCAAATAAAACAGTGTTGTTAAATTATACCCAACATTAGGCAACATTTAACCAGACTATATACTTGAAGATTGTTCTTTACCTGTTTGAACTCGAACAGTTATAATATCAGGCATATAGAATTCTTGCAGGAGTTTGTATGCTTTGATTGGAAAGTTTTCTTCATCCAGTGATAACATATCAAATTGTATTGTCCCATTAGGCTGCACACCAAGACTCCAGAGGGTTTCATAATTTTCAATTATTCTCCCTAAAAAGAAAAAGAAAAATGATTATTAGGTTTCACAATGAATTAAGAGATCACCTATCTTCGTTTCTTTCATCATTTGAGGAATGTAACAAGTCTCAAGAAAAGACTAAGGGAATGCCATTCTATATAATACTGCAATTTAATAATTTCTTTAAAATTACAAAGATTTCCTTTTCCACCTCCTCCACAAATACCTGGTATACAATAGCCTGGGGGGTTCTCAAACAATTTTGCCTCTGTGATTGGAATGGGCACTGAATGACAGGATAATTACATGGTGGTGGCAGATCTCAATATGAGAATAGTACTTGAAAGCCAAAGCCACTCCTTGTTTAGCGGCTACCTCATTTAGCGACCATTTGCAAATATGACAGTAATTTTAAAAATCATTTTCCAACCAATGCACACATTTAGGACCACATTTTTTGCACCTGACAACAAAAGCCTTCAGTGTGAAACTAATTAAGGTCTGGTCAGTTTCAGACAGCAGCACCAGCTGGCCAGAGGGCTCTAATCAACTAATTAAAGTCACAGAGCTGAGCTTGTTAACTTGCCATTAGCACTTAGGGAAGCACTGTGGAGAAAAGCAGCTCAGGAAAAGATATGTTGTTTAAGCAATTTCTCCACCCAGGGAAAGGGCAAAAAAGGAAACAAATGGGTCAGGACACTCTACGAGAGAACTTTATCTAAATGAGAGGCAACAGCCAATGATCTTCGCAATCTCTCTTCTCTCCCTCAGTCATGTGTTCGCTTAGCGACCCTTTCGCTTCTGATTTAAGGAACAGGTTGTGATTGCTAAATGAGGAGAGGGTGTATAGCAATTTGGGAGTTTTTCAGTATACTATATTCAGTCACCTTTGGAGTTTAGACTATGCCCAATCAGTGCTTGAATTTCTGTAAACTTACTTAAGGATATTCTTCCTTCAGGTACAATGGACTTCTGTTGTTACTTAAGAAATAAATAAATGCTACTGCCTTATTTGGGGTCCTGTCTATATTTATATATATGAAAAAACACAGAAAACCTCTTATCTACATGAAACCGCTGGGTAAGATCATCCGTCATCATGGGATGAGGTATCATCAGTATGCTGATGATACACAGTTATACATCTCCATCCCAGGTGAAGTGATGCCGTTTCGCGGTGCCTGGAGGCTGTAAGGGTCTGGATGGGGAACAACAGGCTTTGGCTGAACCCTGGTAAGACGGACTGGCTGTGGGTTAATGGTTCCTCGGTATCCGGGACTTTGTCATCTTTGGGGCTAGATGGGGTGGCACTGCCCCAGACAGACCCAGTGTGTAATCTGGAGGTCCTCCTAGACTCACGGCTCCTGCTTGAAGAGCAGGTGGCAGCCGTGGCAAGGAGGGCCTTTGCACAACTTCGGGTTGTGCATCAGTTACGCCCTTTCCTGGATCAGGATGCCTTCAAACAGTCACTCATGCAGCCGCGCGGGCTATTTTTGGAGCCCCAAGGTGGGCCCATGTAATGCCACTGCTCCGCGAGCTGCATTGGGTACCAGTTTGT